AGGGGTTGATGGATTGATTGTATCCCATGGGAAATAAAACTGGATGCTAAATTGATTATATATGTAATATTTTGAATAGCATATGAATGGTTAATAAATAAATTTTATCGAAGATTTTGTCATTTCCCATACATATCTTTAGATAAGCATGTTGTACATGTACAATTCCGTTGTTCATAAGTAGAACATGAAGACATGTGTAAAGTGTCTATAACATTTACATACATACATACATACATACATACATACATACATACATACATACATACATACATACATACATACATACATACATAAATACATACATACAAGGAAAAAGACGACTACGATTTTATAAATTTTAAATACCAATCACTTTGTTTATCTATGAAATACAAATTGCAGGTTTTATCTGTTAGAACGAGCCAAAAGCATAGGTTGCGTTACTCTAATGTTGATAGATATCATGGCTGAAATGATTTTAAATTTTTTTTGGTACAGATTGTTTTTTAATTCTGGCTTTCAAAGTTCCAAAATTTAAACATTTATACCAGTGATTTATTTATTTATTTTAATAGTTGTCAATTAACATAGATATCATAAAAAATTTTGGGAGTCCGATTGGATATGAAGATGAAAGATATATGGTTTGGTTATTTTTATTTGTTTTTAAAATTTCATAAAAACTTGTATTTTGTAGGTGTGACATATTTTTTAGTTTTTTCTTTTAAACAAATTATATATAATCATTATAACACATTCATTTTATATAAAATTGTATATTATTTGTTTTAATTCAATTTGATTAATATAACGGAACCGTCTCTAACCATGCCCATCTATCTTCTTATGCAATAGTATCGAAAAAGATTATTAAAAGTATTAAAATAATTTATAACAGAGAGCATGTAAGTTCGCACACAGCCATACCTTTTAGTCAATGATCTATAATGCATTTTATTTTATTTTTCTATAACGCAACCATACATGTAGATCGATATTTTTAAAAATATGTGCCATAAATAAGCCCATAGCGTGTTATGTGGACCCTCCTTCATTTTATAACAATTGATGGTTGACACAGACCATAATATACACTCCATCCCACATTATTGGTCCAATAAACAATAAAGAATTAAAAATCCAACCGCCAATTTATAACAATAAATGCTTTAATTTTTTTTTATTATTTTTCTATAATGCTTTAATTTTTTTTTATTGTTAGGTCACTATTTTAAATTAAATGTAACGCCAGCAGACACGCAGCCGTTGGTGTGAATATGAAAAATAATGGACCAAATCAACTAGATTTGCCGGTAAATTAATTTTATATTTTCTTTAATTTAAAATAGTAAAACTTTTTTCTCTAATTTTAATATCAATTATGTTAGTTATCCTTTTGCATCACATATTATTGTTTTTCGTAATAGAAGAAAAAAACATAAATATTGTGATAGAGTTTACATAAACAAAACATACCAAGTTATTAATTACCGTACCACTTGAAAGTTATTGTCGACCACAGAGAGCTCTGGCCTGATAATTACCCTTAGCCATTGATAAGAAATCTTAATCCTACAAATTCATTTATAAATTCTGGTAAAAAAAATAATTCATCCAATTTCTTAATCTGTATATACGTAGGAAAAAAGTTGCTACTTAGCACTTTTTAATTTTTTTTTTTTCTTTTTTCCAGTGATAAAAAGGATAAATATTTGTTTTCATTTTATTCTGATTGGGCTTAAAATGGGGTTTTATGACTTGGTTATATTTATGGGCTACAATTGGGCCTTTAAAGGCCCATAAAAGTACGCAAAGAGAATCTCTCTCGACTCCTGGGAAAGGGAGGGAGAGATGAGAGGAATCGGAGGGCCGTTGCTGTCGATCGGGGATCTGCTCGCCGATCTGGGGGAGGAATCCGGTGAGTCGCCGGAGAAACGTGAAACTCCTGCATCGGATTCAACATTAGGATCTGATACAGTCTCTGGATCCTTGGACCTCACCAGACTCTTTCAGGTCACTCTTCCAAATCAGAATTTTCTCTCTTGTGCCTGATTTTAACTTCGTGTTTTCTCGTCCCTTTTCGAGCGTGTTCATTCGAACTCCATGAGTTTTATCTCCTGTTTGATTCTTAATTGTGGTGGACATTGTTCGGTTCTGTATATATCTGTCGTTGTTCTGGCCGCAGGTGAAGAATTAATGCGATGTTTCGTTGTGGTTTTTGGACGGATCTGTGAATTATGAAATCTACGCTCGCTGGGTGAATGAATCCCAATCACGCTGGATTTGAATTGAAGTTATTTTCGTTTAAATGTAGCTGAAATCTACTGTTGAATTAAGAATTCTACTTTAAGTTAGGTTTATTTGAACCTCGTGAGTCCAAATCACGGTGGATTTGATAATGAAGGATGCTGGAATGTCTTCTAGTTGCTTTCTTGTTTTGATCAGGTTACTCTAGGTCTTGGATTTGTGCTGTGACTAGGTCCTGTTATCTAGATTCACTATATCTGGTGCTGTTCAACATAATTTTTATCGCCATGAGTATTAAACAATAGTGGATTCGTTTCAGGAAAACTATGATAAGTTGAACAAGGCATTTGCGGGTTCAGATCACTCATGGACAGCTCTAACTTTGGAGGTAATGACTTTGTTTGGAGCTATGATGAATGTCACATCTATGACAACCTTGATAATCATTAACTGCTAAATAATTGGATATGAATATTTGGCAACAGTTTCTTATTATTTTCCTTCATCAGTGAGGTCTTTCTGTGTGTGCACCCATAGTTTTCATATATAATCTGTAAAGAATTCAGAAAAAAACAAGGTTAGTATTGGAAGGGTTTGATGTGTGGGGTTCGTTATTGGCAGGAGAGACATTTCTTTCTGTTTGTTTTATCTGTTCCTTTCTTTCAATTGAAGTCTTTCCTGGGGAGTTTTCCTTCGAAACTGGTTGTTTGTTGCTCAAGCATTGCCTCTCATGTAACTTTATTTCCGTTGCTCGAGCATTATCTTTCACGTAACTTGTGTCTGGACTGGTGGTGCCTCTTTGAGGCAACCACCCATTAGTTGTGAATTTGATCAAGTTGTTTAGCTAGTAAATGATTAGTTATGTCTATATTTCGAGCATTTTCCATATATTATCACGTGGTTTTAAGTTTGAATTTTTTATAGCTTATCCAGTGAACTCATACTCCCATGCCTTTGTTCCTGCAAATTTCAGCTTTGCACTGCACTAGAAACGGCAAACAAGTTGGTCAATATCACCTATACGAATGCTAGATTGTTGTCAGAGAAGGTTGAAGAACTCGAGAACGTAATGAAGCGAGGAGACTCCGCTGTGGCAGCGGCCAGAATAATCCATGCTTCTCTAAACCAGAAAGGGTCACCCTCACATGACGGTTAGGACATGCAACAATTCAGGTACAAACTCACCTGTCGGGTGCTTAGATTGCTTAATCTAAGCTTTTCACGTTTGTTCTGCTAGATAGGCTTGTTGAAAAAGATCTCCTTTTAATTTAATTAAATGGTGTGTAAATCTGATCCTGAGGTGAAAATGACATATTCACACCTTCAAGGATCGAGGACAAAAGTATTTCATCTTCTAATGGAAGTTGCATCATATACATTTTTTTCTGCAGGACCGGGCTTATTGTATTGAATTATTGGGGACAGTAGTACTTGGTTCCAACAATATTATTGTGTTGATTATGTATTGGTACAGCATAAGATTTTTCATTTAGGAGAGTGACCACCTGAGCTTGGCAGGAAAAGAACTTCTAAACTAATCAATTACGTCACTGCTTTTATCAATCCTCCAAACATCCAAAAACAAAAAGCTTTTTATAGGGCGAGAGACAAATTAGTTCTTCTGTCCACTACTCTAGAATTGTTAAACTAATTAAGCAGGGTGTGCCCTTATATTATAGTCTGGAAAGTCGTGAGAAAGAATCGAAGGTATTATGCCTAGTTGGTGTGGTTTCGGTTTTTTAATACATTAGATTAATATGCTGTGGCAGTTATTGATTGATTATTTGATGTGATGTCGCTTGAATGATTTGATTCGCTGATAATATATATATTTCAAGTCTAGATAAGTTTTTTGGTCCCCCAAGGTGAGGCTCCATCTCTGGTCTGCGAATAGTTTCAAATCTTTGGATATGTATTTTCATATTATAGTCCGTGCGCTTTTACTTGGTAAAATAATCAGGAATTAGGCTGAGATTGGATTGCCTATGTTTTAATCATAGATATATTGTTTTATGGTAATGGTTCTAACAATTCTCAGCTCCATTGTTTATTTGGCCCTTCGATCTTCAGTGGTCCTGCAGCTTCTCCTTTGGACCACCAGGTTTTACCTCTATTAATAATTATATCCCCGTATCATCCTAACGGGGACCATTCTTTGGGGGAAAACTTGGATTTGACTTCAAAGATTTCCTCGAAATTCTTGTGAATGGAACCCGTAATCTCTTGCGTGGCACTACATGGCTTCTATTCTTGTGTTCCCATCCTTCTTTTGTATATATATACTCTGCACTGCAGATATCATCTTTTAACCCTCCAGGTCCAACACTGTCCACCGGTGGCCATGGCCTTCCCCGACGATGACTTTCTGGATCTCCTCTTCTCTGACCACACCGCCGTTCCTGCAACTGCCGCTTCAGCCATTGCCGCAAGCACAACAACCACGACTATTTCCTCCGGTGAGGAACAGGGTAATAACTGGAATGACTGGTCTCCTGTCATGGACTGGAGCTCTGACTTCCGCGATCTCATTGACTCGATTATGGCTGATGAAGCCACCATAATGGACCCTTCTCCTCGACTTTTGGCTTACGACCATGACCAAGAAGTGTGCAACTCTACATCCACGGATTCGATGATGATGATGGTGACCGATGCGGTTGATCTGGAGGATCCTAAACCCGATGATTTGAAGGGCTTAAGATTGGTTCACTTGCTGATGGCAGCGGCCGAGGCCTTAACCGGAGCCCACAAAACCCAGGAGCTAACTCGTGTCATATTGGCTCGGCTCAAGGAGTTGGTTTCTCCTGGCGACCGGACCAACATGGAGAGACTAGCCTTCCACTTCACAGATGGCTTATCTTCACTGCTCGAGCGAGCAACTAACACAGTCAAGCGGCGGCAGGGTGGTGGGTCCCACTTGCACCGTGAGGTCCGTGACCACGTGGACGTGGTTGCAGCGTTTCAGCTGTTTCAGGATATGTCCCCGTACGTCAATTTCGGTTACCTGACGGCCAACCAAGCCATATTGGAAGCTGTGGGATATGAGAGAAGGATCCATATAGTGGACTACGATATAATGGAAGGTGTCCAGTGGTCTTCCTTCATGCAGGCTCTGGTCACCAGAAAAGCCGGTCCACCGGTTCAACATCTTCGGGTCACAGCCTTGTCCCAAGCCATCAATGGGAGAAAATCTGTTGCTGCGGTGCAAGAGGCTGGACGGCGGCTGGCCTCGTTTGCTGAGTCAGTCGGCCAACCATTTTCATTTCACCATTGTAAACTCGACTCAGATGAAACGTTCAATTCCTCGTCTTTGAAGCTAGTCAGAGGAGAAGCACTGGTCATCAACTGTATGCTTCACCTGCCTCGGTTCAGTTATCAAACACCTAATTCCCTCGTCTCTTTCTTATCCGAAACCAAAACATTGAACCCAAAACTTGTAACGCTTGTCCACGAGGAAGTCGGGATGAGCGTCGACCAAGGCTTTACGACTCGGTTCATGGATTTGCTGCACCAATTCTCGGCCATTTTCGACTCCCTCGAGGCAGGTTTCCCAGTGGCAAACCCAGCCCGTGGGTTTGTCGAGCGTGCCTTCCTCGGTCCATGGATCTCGGCTTGGTTGACACGCATAGCGGCTGCCACAG